GTGTGGGATTGCAAATTTTTTACATAATTTTACTCATTCCCGCAGATTTTGCACTCACACCCGAACTGTGGCACATAAAGCCGCCTCTCAGCACTAAATTGAGTTGTTGTTTTTTTGCCGCTTAAACAGTCAAATACACACAAAATAATGTCAAAATGCCCGTCTTTGCGAGTATTCATGTGTAAACATGTTTTAAGTGAACGTAAAGGAAAGAAAACTAATGTGTAACAGAATAATGGATCCGTGCGTCAGGTCTTAAAGTGACAGCAGCCTAATAAACCTGCTGACAAATTATGAGATAATATTAAAAATATCTATATGGCAGTTTTTCCCCATGGTATCGACGTCAAAACTTTGGACAACCACTAGACACAGTGGCTGGTGAGCAAAAAAAAAGCAGTGTGCATAACATAACATAAACGAGCAACAACCAAAGACTGAGATAATGAAATGATAACAAACAGGTGTGATGATTAGATGAGTGTGTGCAGGTGTGAGCCAAGAGGGATTATGGGAAATGTAGTGCGACATGACTGGTCTGGTGACTGAGATCGTGACACTTGTGACATATGATAGTCCTTTATAGTCATACAATAGTTTTGTGTGATGAACAGATCAAAATTTAAGCCAGTATTAATGTCAAATATTAAATATGTTTCGTAATAAGTACGTTTTCAAATTTGTGAATAAAACGAAGACGATTGGAGTATGTTTTACAAGACAATACTATTTCAGTCTTTCATTTCTTTATGATTATATGTGGAATTTAGCAATTTCTGAGTACCAAATATTTTTGAGAGCCTGTGCTCACCATTATAAAATTAATCTATCAATTCATGATGATTTAACAATATATTTCTATAAAAAGTTTCACACACACACTCACACACAAAAAAACTGTATTGAGGTCCAACATGATGGTGAGTGAATGTTATTAATGATTTTGGTTTGGTGATTGTTTTAAATGTTTGTCACCAGCGAGCTTGGGAACACGACCCAGATCTGAATTATTTGCGACAGTTAGCGCAAATACAGAACTGTAGTCGTTTTTAGTTACACCTTATTTTGATGGTCCACTTGAGACATTCTACAAATTATAAGTAACTTTGCAACTTCATGTCAACTAACTGTAACGTTTTAGGGGCGTTTTGTCCGTTCATTTTACACGACGATGGCGTTTGGGGAGCCTGAAAATGCAAACTTTTGAAAACGGGTTTTAAAGCGCATTTTTGAAAACGGTCTGTGTGTAAACAACAAAAAAAACGTGAATCTCTGAAGACAATGACGCCATACACATGCGTATTACATGTTCAGTCTACAGTGTTTCATCGCCATCTAATGGCCTGGCAGCAGAATACAGCGCTTTTAGTCGTTTTCTCAGATCCGTGTGAATGGGGATCGTTTTGACAATAGTGTCGTCTGTACGCGGAAGACTAAAAGGAAAAACGTATCCGCTTTAAGCATATCGTTGTTGTGTAAACGTACCCTAAGATCAGGAGTAAAAAATTCATGGGACTTGTTTTGATAATGGTGTGGTCTGACCGTCCGTACACAGGAGACTATAAACTGTCAACGTACCCTTAGGTTTGTTTTCACTCTGTTTGCTCTGTTCCCGTTCTCCTTCGTTCCCTAGTTAGTCTCCTTGTCTGTTAATTAGTTCTATCACACGTTCTGTTTCACGCTAATTACTCCCCAGGTATTTAAGCCCTGACTTTTCCTTAGTTTTTTGTTCGTTATCGTTTGTGTTGGAAATGGTTGTGCTTGATTCGTGTTGATTTTGGATTTATGAAGGATTGCGTTTTGTTCCTACTCCAACTCTCATTGGAGAACTAGTAGACTGTAGTAGACTGTTAGGGTTCAGGTTAGTAGAATAAGTGGACATGTAGTTGCAAAGTTACCTATAGTGATTAGAATGTCAAAAGTGGACCATCGAAATAAAGTAAAAACCTAGTTGTTGTTGTTTTTTTTACATTTGAAACGTTGGATTTAAACACTGTTATTTGAATTGAGGCCTAGTGGTTAGTACATGTGCTTCAGACACATTGAGCTGCTTATGGTGATAATGCAGGAGAATGAGAAAGTTTTTCCTGCAATGTGTTTTGCTTCAGATCATCAGATGCATTTAGAGCATAACCAAATTGCAAATATTATTTAATATGGCATAAAAATGTGTTATGTAAAAGCATTGTAATGAGGAAAGGGTTGTTAGATTTGTAAAACTGATTTCAGACTGTGATATGGATGTTTTCACTGATCTAACTGCATTGCATTGTAATCAAAGCATTGTGTGTATGATATCAGCGAATATCATAACAGCAAGACTCTCTAATACACTTAGGGGAAGCATCTAAAAAATGTCCACCTCAAAACGTGTGTGTAAGTATCTGTCTGTCCTCTTTTTGTGGCTTCGTGTGAGTGTATGTGTGTATCCTGTCCTCTGGAGGACACTCATCTATGTGTTTAGTCATTTTAATGATAACCACATTCTCTCTGCTTGCCATGCTGTTCATAATGACGCATGTTGTTGTTTTCAATGACCAAAATGAAACTCATATGCTTTCTGAGGCCCCCCTTGAATTTATACAATATTTAACAGCTGTGCGTTCAGATAAACCTCTTTTAAAACTCCCCATGGACTCATGTGTGTTGACATGACTATTAATCGTGTTATTGCAATGTAATAAATGCATTTATAACAACACATGGAACAATTCTGTCTATATAACGTTAATTATAGAATAACTGCATCAGTGTTACAAGATAAACGTGACACGATATATCTAGATTCCTGCATATGTAGTCTATTACCCTATTTCATCAAAGGTCACAGTTATCTCTGTGACTGTCTATGACTAATGTTTGTGTCAGATGTTTAATTTTTTTTTTATTAAAAGCAGGAGCATTTGAATGATTAAAAGCTACAGAAATATCTAAATATAAACAAGAATTCTTGGTATTTTTAAAAGAAAATGTATCTGCAACCTTCTTACAAGTATAATTGAAGCAGAAGTTAGTGGCCGTACTGTATAGACAGTCTGTTGAAAATCTAGGTTAACTGGGTTAAATAAGTAAAACAAGATTATGGATATATTTAATGTTATTAGCCTAATCACTGAAATGAAACTTAAGGGATCACCTAGCAATCATTAGTAAAAAATATGGCAGAACTTTTCCATATAATTTTCCAATCATGTACTTTTTCCTTTCCATCTCTGTGAAAGCATCAGTTGAGTCCCAATGTATTCACACAGAAATTGAATTAAGAGTGGTAAAATCCGTCTCGATGTGTGTGCAATCAGACCGCTTTATAATGACATCTTTTGTAGTGTAATGCTCTGACCGAAAGACCTCATTACAGGGAAGTTTGCCTTTATTGTTATTGTGTGTGTACAGAAACATGCACAGATACAAAATGAACAGACAGAGATGCACATTCTTCGTTGGTAAAATATTTGTCGTTCTGGAATAGCTCACAGTGAACTAAATCTAATCAACATTAACTGAACAAAATTTGTGCTGTACAAGCATTATGTTGGACTAAATGCCTATTTACACCATGTTCATGTCAATCCAAAATGATCCCACTGTAACACTGTTTTTGGTTCACTGCAGTTTTAAGGAGAAAAGCAATAGTGTTGACTTATTTTACACATGGTTTGTCTTAAAGCTGCCGTCGGCAACATTTTTTTGATCATATTCAGTGAAATCGACACTACAATCTGACAGAACAACATAAATAAAGTGGTTTTAGAAAAAACCCGAGCTTCTAACTCCACCTGGAGCGTGTTATTTGTTTTGCAAAAATCCACAGCTCCCGGATCATCGGGTCCAATCAGCGCAGGTGGGTGTGAGATCTGACTGTCAATCACAGATCGGGCACACGCCACCCCTCGCGCACGTTACAATCACATGCACACGCCTGAAGTTTGTGCAGTAACGAAGAGTGATGGCGGAAAATCAAGTAAGCTCATTTAGAGTATAAATGACGTTAGCAATTGCAATCTATCGGTAGATTAGCCAGGACAGCATACCTCCAAATACTCCATGGTGTTGATGGATGCGGATGAGACGGGCGCGTTCACAGATAACCTGGTGCACACGCACTGACGAGCACGAACTGGGTGGGAGGGTATCCGTTTAAAGTGGGGGAGGGGCATGAGAGTTGTAAACATTCAAAATTTTGCCTAAATCCACTCAATCTGCCAGACTTGCCGACTGCAGCTTTAAAGCATATTAAAAACACCACATAGACATATAAACTACATTAAAAGCTGGATTTTCACCACAGGGGGATTTTAAGGTAAATCCTGATATAAACTTCCATATAAACTGAAATACACGTGCATCATTACAAAATGTATGACCAAAATTTTGCTGATAAAATTTCATACTGATGCAAGTTTGGGTCGTGTGCGGGATTTATACGTTTTTTGTTGTTGTTTATTTGGACTTTTATCCGTCGCACCTATGAATGATTTGTGTGTGAGAGGCACTATATTTTCTAAGTCTTCTGAAGTGAAATGGTGCTGAAATTTAAGTCATTAGGAAACTTTCCCTTCCACTGCAGCTCTCCAACAAAAACTGTTTACGACGCTAGCAAGAACACATGCAGCTTTGCCATCAAAGTCACATGTCACAATTATGAATGAGAAATCAGAGCTTCAGCTGTAAATTATATTCTTTGGAAAAATTCTATTTTATTTCATTTTATTTTCGTCCTTTTGGGGGGCTTTCAATGTAAAAAAAAAATCCTTTAACTCTAAAAGGGGTTTCAATGTCTAAATCTCCCAAAACAAGTGCAAAAACAACATTCGTTCTGTTGTTATTTCATTGCTTATTGTTGTTATTAGTACTTTCGAATAATCGCACTGGTGCTTTTTAGCGTCTGATGTTCATTTTCCTGCTATTGTCTGGCATAGATGGCCCCGGCCTCCTTAGAGTGCGTCCCTCCCACCTCCCCAAACCCCCCAGCCCTCCCTTCAGCACCAAACACACACACACACACTCTCTCTTTCCTCTCCTTTTCGTCCACCGCTTGCAGCTTCAGACATTTGGGGAATCCTGAAACGAGTTGTTCCCGCAAAGAGGCATTGCCAACTTAGTGTAGGTTCAATCTGAATGAACAGAGGAAACAGAAAGAGGCAGTTTCACTAAGAGCGCTGATATTCCTGCCCTCCCGCGTTCGCTCCTTCATGTCTTTTGTTGTGGACACTGGCTGCGCTGGTTGGACACCGTGAGACCCTCTCAGAGGCTTCTTGATTATGGACATAGAGACACTGTAGAGCCCTTTACACTGCATGTACTCTCGACTTGCTGGTAAGTGTCTGTTTTAAGATCTCTCTCTCTCTCTTTCTCCTTCTCTTTATCTTCAGCTGCTGTTTAATTTGACAGAAAGCCTCATCAAGAGCTCGCCTCAGGTCTCTAGAACTTTTCCCCCCAAGTTTCGTCAAGTTTTGTGACATCTCAGTCCCGTGCAAGCCTTTCCTGTCAGGGTTTCTCAGGCTTCTTCTTCCCCCGCTCCCTGGGATCTTTCGGAGTGCCTCGACTCGGATTACTGGCTTCCTCCTGTTGTTTGCGGGTGCAGGTTTTCTCCTCCGAGCTCCGGCTCCGCGCTCCCACGCTCTAGCGCAGAGGGGAAGGAAAGCGCTGATAAGAGTTTCGGAGTCTCAGGGAGAGTGGCTTTTGTTAGCTGCCTCGATGTGTGTGTGTGCGTGCATCTTTATAAGGAGGGGAACTTTTAGCGGTGTGCGAGCCGTTTTCTTCACTTGTTTTGTTGTTTTTGGAGGTAACTTCTATTTTTATGGGTGGAGGGGTGCGAAAATTGGAAACAGACCCACCCAGAGCCGAAGTGAGTCAGACGGCATATGTGCATCTGTGTCAGTCTAGGGCAAATAACAACCCCACGACTTAGAAAAGGGAAAACGAGAGATGTTTCTTAATCTTAGGCAAGGCAATTCTCTGGAGATTTTAAAGGGCTTGGACTTGATGGAGCACATGGTTTTGCATTCGGGAAGAGGAAAGGGGGGAAGAAGTGATGGGGAGGGATGGTGCGTGTGTGTTCTGGGTGGGTGGAATAAGATTAGATGTCTGCTGCCTTGTAGATTCTTAAAAATAAAGGTTCTTCCTTAGTTTCTTCTTATCAAGGATTATTTCTCAAGGGTCCTTGAGTTGACTGTAAGGGTCATTACAGGTTCTTCAGATGGGTGTATTGGTTTTTGGTTTCTTTAGCACCAGTAGAAGTTTTCTGAAGTCAAAGTAGAACTTTTAAAAAAGGTATTCAATGTGATTAGGCTGTTTAGCCAGGGTTTACCTACCAAAAGGGAACTAAACTGGAATGAGTGATTGAATAGTCAAAATTTGCCATAGTAGTTTTGCCTTGTCACGGACTTGGTAACAAGAAGTTTCTTCTCTGAAACTGAAAGATGGATTCATTGAGAGTTGTCTCAAGGATTTGATAGTTTTGTGGACAAGGCAAGGCTAATGTCGGAGACTTGAGAGGAAATGCCCTCTTCTCACATCCATGAGGAAGTGGCCTTGTGGCCAGCCTTGTGATGCATTAATCCCACAGACTGATGCAGACGTCGGTTTCCCCAAAATCTCATGGCTGCTCGCTTTTGTCAAGTGATATGCCCATTTTAACATCGAAATTGGGAAGTAAACATGTAATATGTTGAAGTATTTAGTTTTGAACTTTAAAGAGAGAAGCTCTGGTTATTCATACTGCCGTTTAAAAAAATATAATAATAATTTGCTGAAGTAGTCAATGAAGAACATGTCATAAGCCCTGAAGACCATTGTGAGATAGCCAGTAGCTTTTGAACTAATATGAAACTCAAGTCAGATTTTCTCTTTGTCCGGTCTGTTTTTTTAGAGCATTCAAGCTTCTCTCGAGAGGCCTGAGATTCCCAGTTTTGAGGGGTATTCATTTACACAGGGATTTAAAACCTTCTTCCTCTCATTATCCGCTCTCTGCTGCACGCCTGTCTCCCAGGAGCGCCTGTGCTATTAGTGATAAGGCTGTGTAGCGGTAGCTTTTCCTGTCCTGAGCAGGAAGAGTCACTCTCTGTTCAGCCACTGACTTGTCCTGTATCCATCCTCTCATCCACTGGGAATATCACTGTACTCTTGAGGGCTGCCCTCGGATCATCCAGCTGCTGGCAACTGCCAGTCCATCTGGACCTCCACATGCTGCAAACTGATATCGCCCCTGTTATTGACCTATCAAAGATACATTCAGCTTATATGTTCATGGCGGGTTACTTTTAAAAACTATAAAGTGGCTCCAAACTGTTTATTTTGGAATACCTTCCATAAAATGTCCCCACTTCCTGACAGAAACTGTATTCTGTAAACAGCAAAAAAGTATCTGACATACACGTTAGCCAATCAGAAAACTCAGAGGCGGTTAAGTTTGAGGGTGGGACTACCGGTTTGTGCAAACAATAATAAACAATGATTTTTAAGGTATTCTGTGTGAGTGCTGGTGGGTTGCTAGTTGCTAGAGTATTCTAAGTGGTTTTCAAGTCATTGCTAAGGGGTTGCTAAGGTGTTCAGGATGGTTTATAGTGTGTTGCTAAGTGGTTGTCAGGATGTTAAGATGTTGCTAGGGGTTATGGGTTGTTAGGACATTGCTAAGTGGTTGTTAGGGCATTTCTGAGTGATGCTAGGCTCTTGATAAATGGTTACATTGCTTTTCTAGATGTTTGCTAGGTGCTCTGTTTGGATACTAAGGTGTTGCTAAATGGTTTCTGTGGTTTTCTGGGTGGTTACTTTGTTTTTGGCAAATGGTTGGTAGGCAGTTCAGGGTTGCTAAGGCATTGTGAAGAGTTGCTAGGTGGTTGATAGAGTGTTGCTAAGCAGTTGGTAACTAGCTGTTTGGCTGTTTTAGACGTTTGCTAAAGTGTTCATGGTGGTTGCTAGAATGTTCCGGGTGGTTGAACAGTGTTTATGGGTGGTTGTTAAGGCATTGATAACTAGTTGCTATGAAGTTAAGAGTGGGTGCCATGTTTTCTAGTTGGATGCTAAAATTTTGCCAAGTGGTCACTAGGGTATTGCCAAGTGGTTGCTAGTGCATTTTTAAGTGGTTGCTAGGGTATTTCTAACTGGCTGCTAGGCAGTTCTAGATGCTTGCTAGGTGTTCTGGGTATTTTCTATGGTGTTACTAAGTGGTTATTAGAGTGTTTTTGGTGGCTTTAAGTGGTTGTTAGTGTGTTCTTAGTGGTTGCTAGGGGGTCTAGGTGGGTTTTACAGATGCTTGCTTTGGCAAGAGCACTAATTAATATGGTCAACCCTGGAAATGTGTGACAGGAAATCTGATCTCCAAGCAGCACTCAGCAACATGTTCTCCCAGAGGTCTGCGGTCAAGAGGGGTGAAGGGGTCGCCTCACTGCACATCCCTTCGGACAAAGATTGATCTTTAAACCTCTCCATTCCCAGACACGCCACATGTCCACACCATCAGAGTTAACAGCCCAGAAGATCCTGCCTGCATGATCCTATAAACAAATATTTGAAGAGTCTTGAAGTGGACTGATACTATTTTCTTGCAATGTCAGATGGGATTTTATTTCATGAAGCCATTTATATGGAATGTAAAGGCATCAGTAGGTGGCACAGAAAAGTGTGTAACGTTTTAGAGCGCTTGGAATCCATCAGCTGTAATCACTTACACAAGCTGCTTGAGACGTGGAAAATATCTTCCATGCATGGCATGATAGTGCAGCTCCATACTGAGCAGGATATGAGAAAACTATTTTTGTCCTCAACAATTTTGGGATTATCCACATGAGTACTTTGTTTATAGAGTCGCAGCGAAGGTTCCTCTCAGATGTGGTCATGTGTTTGATGCCCTCCTCTGGTGACTTCAGTGTATTGAATAAATAGGAAATGTCTATAATAAGTGGATGGAAAAGCCTCTTGCATGTGTTATGCTTTCAAACCACAAAATCAGACACTCCGTTTACATGAAATACGTGTCAAGTATGTGGTGGTTTGCCTTCGATCAGTTTCCTGTTGAGAATTAGGTATACGTTTCCATTTTATCTTTCAGAATATATTGTCACCACAGGAAGTATGCTAAATAATTATGTGTATTATGATTGTCGGTTTATCCAGTGACCTTTTGTGATGCATTAGTGTTGTTTTATTCTTTATATAGTGTGCACATGGCTTACATATCAATGTATTTGTTATGTTATGCATGTATTTCTCCTCTTGATTTCCCAAGATATCAAAACAAAAGTCAATATGAATATGAATAATTTCAATAAAGTCAAAACAGTTTCAAAGCACTGTATTTGAGTTGTATACTTGATATGTTAAATTCTTCTAAGGACATTTTGGAGAAGCATTTGAAACGATGTATTATCTAGATCTCAGAAGCAATTACATTTCTCATAAGCGCAAACAAGCTTGTCCAGTAAACATCTCGGTTGTCAACATCATCTCGCTCGCTATCTCTCAATTAGAGGAGGTTATTATGTTTTGCGCTTCCTTATCAGTCGCTAAACAAATGTCTATTAAAGTAGGGGAAAACCTGCTGATGGCAGTCCAAACATTTCCTGGAAAAACACATAGAATGGCCAGTTATTAATATATTATTTCCAGTGAACTCCTTACTGTAGCTGATTCATGTTTGCAGCTAAACATGCATTTGTTGCACCAACAGTTTTGTAACGTTCAAGCTATAAGCTTGTTTGGGGTTAATAAAAAAATATGAATACTTTTTTATAAATACTAAACAAATGACCTTTTTTTAACAGAACTGTGAGGATTTGTGCTTCAGGGTCACTGGCTGGAGAATCAAGGAAGTGAACAAAGTGAATGCTTTAGGTTTGGACCTCTATCACTTGCCTCACACCATTTCTGCTTCTTCTGGTCCACTGGTAGTATTAATGAATTTGACCTGTCCATGTGTTTAGCTGTTATTGTTTATCATTGATCTCTGTGTTGGAGGGCTGTTTCCATACGTTCCTGGATGTGACTCAGAGTATGACAGGAACTCTCTTGCGTTACTCATGCACTTCGAGGGTCTTCAGCGTTTCATCACTGTCTCGCACAAAAAACTACTGAAACTGACGTGTAAAGCCATCGAGGTTTCCATGGTGTCACATCTTGACCGCTGTTTTCCATGTTGGTCGATCTGCATTCAACTGCACGTCTCTATTTCTTCTGCATCCTCATGCGTAAAGACATCATGAGAGTATTTTCATGTTGGAAAACATTCAATACTGGACTGAAAGTCCCCTGACATACTTTTGCAAAAAAAAGAAGTAAAACGTATGAAAAGCTTTCACATGCCTGGTGGTAAATAGTTG